TACATTTTATTTATATTTTACATGCATTTATAAGTGTGTATGTGCCTGTGCATGAGCGTGTATGTAGGATGTCAGTTACATTTTATTTATATTTTGCATGCATTTATAAGTGTGTATGTGCCTGTGTGTGTATGTGTAGGATGCCAGTTACATTTTATTTATTTTTTACATGCATTTATAAGTGTGTATGTTCCTGTGCATGAGCGTGTGTGTACGATGTCAGTTCCATTTTATTTATACCTTACATACATTTATAAGTGTGTATGTGCCTGTGTCTGTGCGTGTGTGTGTGTGTGTGTGTGTGTGTACGATGTCAGTTACATTTTATTTATACCTTACATACATTTATAAGTGTGTATGTGCCTGTGTCTGTGCGTGTGCGTGTGTACACACGTGCCACAGAGCACTTGTGGTCTGAGGACAACCTGCAGGAGTTACTTCCCCCCTTCCACTCTGGGGAAGGGAGTTCTGACATACAATAAGATGGATATCATGCTCAGTGAAAAAAGCCCAGCGAGGTCCCCAGGGCTGACAAAATCACAAGAGACAGAGTGAAACTGCATGTTCGAAGCAGGGGAGAGGAATAGAGAGTTTGTGAGTTTTGACTTTCAACTTAATACAATCTAGAATCATCTGGGAAGAGAGCCGTAGTGAGGTATTATCTAGATCATGTTCTCCTGTGGGCATGTCTATGGGATCCAGTCCACCGTGGGCAGCACCATCCCCTAAGCTGGGCCCCGCGGCCTGTGTGAGAGTGAAGTAAGCTAGTGGACAGCAAACAAGCTGTCAGCAAAGGTGCATTTGCTTCTCTCTGCTCTTTCCTGTGGATGTGATGTGTCTAGATGTCTCAAGTGCTTGCTTCTGATTTCCCTGTAATCATGGTCTATATCCTGGAAATGTAAGTCAAACAAACCCCTTTCATTCCCTAAGTTGCATTTTGTCAGGGTGTTTTTTTTTTCACCATAGCAATGAAATAAAACTACAACAGGGGATTAGTGTTTAACGGGACAGAGGTTCAGTTGGTGATGACACACCATGCTGAGAAGCCAGTCACTATCTACCCAGTGGGGTGATCCGCCTTTTCATGGCTGCCTGTGTCTTGCAGTCCTTTGTGGGGTGCATGGGGTGCACTGGTTAGTGTTGTGGAATATTAAGATGTGTTACTTTTGGGTATGCTGTGAAACATTTGTTTTAGTGATGCACAGATGTGTTGCACTCTCTTATGTTGCATTGGCTTAACTCTGTGAAGCTGTGATACTTTGCCTGTCAAAAACTCCCGATTGGTCTAACAAAGAGCTGAACAGCTGACAGCTGGGCAGAGAGAAAGGCTAGGTGGGGCTGGCAGGCAGAGAGAATAAATGGGAGGAGAAATTAAGAAGATGGAGGATGGAGAAGGAGAAGGAGTAAGAACAAGGAGAGGAGAACTCTAGGGTCCAGCCACCCAGCTACACAGCCAGCCACCGAGTAAGAGTGAAAGATATACAGAATTAAGAGAAAGAGGCAAAAGGTAGATGCGATAATTTAAGAAAAGCTGGCTAGAAATAAAGCCAAACTAAGGCAGGGCACTTATAAGAAAGAATAAACCTCCATGTGTGATTTATTTGAGGGCTGGGTGGTGGGCCCCCCAAAGAGCAAAGAGTAAAACGACCAACAACAGGTTAGTTTTTCGTCAACTTGATACAAGCTAGAGTCCTTAGAGAGGAGGAAGCCTCAATTGAGAAAATGTGCCCATAAGATTCAGCTGTAAAGCATTTTCTTAATCAGTGATCAATGGGGAAGGGCCCACTGTGGGTGGGGCCACCCCTGGGCTAGTGGTCCTGGGTTCTATAAGAAAGCAGGCTGAGCAAAGCAGTAAGCAAGCACCCCTTCACAGCCTCTATATCAGTTCCTGCCTCCAGGTTTCTGCACTGCTTGAGTTCCTGTCCTGATTTCAGACAAACAGTGATACAGAAGTGTAAGCAGAATAAACCCTTTCCTTCCCAACTTGCTTTTTGGTCATGGTGTTTCACTGCAGCAACAGAAACCCTAACTAAGACATGAGGTGTGGCCTAACTGAAGTCACTGTCACTAACGGACATCCATCCACAAGCACACGATTCAGAGGGGATGACTGAGGTTCCCAGCAGTGAAGTAACTCACCCACGTCAGACTCCGGGGCCAATGCTGCGCTTTCCCCCTGGCCCAGGCTTGGCTGGTATGAGAGACCTCTGGGGACCTCATTTAGCCCAGCAGCACTCCTAGGGATGCAGATGAACCCTCACCTGCAAAACCAGGGCCCAAAGGGCCTTGCCTGGAGCCGGATGTGGCCTGTGAACTGGCCGGCACAGTTCCTGTCTGGTCCTGACCCAAGCTTTCTGAGAATGAGGCCTCAGGCTGCTAGCAAGTGCCTGCAAGGATAGGGAGGGCCACCTGTCCTGCCACTGGCGACAGTCTTACAAGCCACTCCTGAAAGGCCCCTCCCAGCCCCACCAAGCACTCCTGGGACTCCTACCTAGCAGAGTCTTGTCTTTGTCATTTGCATAGCCCTACTCTCCAAAGGTCAGACCCGCCCTCTGGGGTCTAAGGAGCAGGTGGCATCATGGGACCACTCTGCCTCAAGTGATTCTCAGGGATGTTCACACAGCTGTCTTCTGAGTGGTGTCTTGGCTCCACCTTGTCTATGTCAGGCTCTTCCCAGTGATTACTGGCAGGCAGAGGGTCACAGGGATCCAGTGGCACTGCTCCGTGGGAGTGGAGCTCAGGGCAGGCAGCTTGGATCCCCGAGGGAGCATCAGGACTGTGTCAGAGCCATGGGATCCAGTACAGAGAAGCCCTCCCTGCTGGCTGCTCCCTTGACACTCTCCTGTTCCTGCCTGCCTTTCCTGGGACTGATGGTCCCAGGGGCCCCTTCTCGGCTTCCTTCCTACAAGTCAACTTCTACTTTTCAACACTGGCCCTGAGAGTGATTGCTGGCCTGTCACCCACACAGCCCTGTCTCCTCTACTGCTGTATCCCGGGGACACTGCTCTCCTTGCAATTCCTGGCTTTCCATGATGGGACCCGTGAGAAGCAGCTGAGTGGCTGACTCGGCTTCAGGAAGGAGCACTGTGGGATGCTGGTTCGGATCTCTCCCTGCAGCCAGGACCTCCTGCCCCCATGGCTCCCCAGCCTCCCTAGATGCTGACCTTCTCTGTCTATTGAGGTTCTCCCACTCGCACCCTGCCTGGAGAAACCAGCACTGGGGAGGAATGGACCTCCCTGTTCCCCAAGAGGGGCACAGAACACACACACACAGAGGTACAGCAGTCAGTCCACAGTCACAGCCAAGTCAGCATAGAGCTGCTCTTGAGTACAGATGGACTAGCATGGTCCAACAGACCAGGACTGGATTCTGTGGGGGTGTCTCACAGTGCTAGGGTAATGGCCGCTGAACAGGTCACTGTCCTTAAGAGGTGGTTCTCCGCCAAGGGTGTGGCTTTCCCCAACAGCCCAGCCCACACATTCCTTCAGAGTGTCACTGTGCCATTGCACACAGCACAAACAGCCTTCCTGTCCCCATTCTGCATGGCTCAGATGCCACCACAATGACCCCGGACTGTCCACTGGGCCAAACAGAAGCTCTGGAGGTCTGGGTACAGAACCTGGCTACATCCTGACACCCAGAATGGACTGTGTCTTCCAGGGCAGTTCAGGGAGCTCTACTCGAGGAAGGAGGCAGAGGTTAAGGTACCCACACTGGATCCACAGAGCTGACTTCCAGTCCGGCCCTGCTGCAGAGACAGGCCCTACACTCTCAGCCATTGGTGTGACCACCACCCTTGTGTTGGTTAGTATATCGATTTGACAGGACTTAGAATCATCTAGAAGATAAACTTCTGGGTATGTCTTGAGGAAGTTTATAGATTGGGTTGAAGTGGAAGACCCATCCGACATACAGGCAGTACCATCTCTTGGGCTGTGGTTTTAGCCTGAATAAAAAGGAAAAAGAGGGTTGGGGATGTGATTAGGCGGTAGAACACTTGCCTAGCATACACAAGCTGTGGGTTGGATCCTGTCCTGGAGAGTTTTATGCCAACTTGACACAAGATAGAGTCGTTTGGGAAAAGGGAACCTCAGTTGAGAAAACGTCTCCTTAGGAATGGCGTGCATTTTCTTAATTAGTGATTGATGAGGGAGGGTCCAGACCGTCGTGGGTGGTGCTATCCCGAGCTATAAGAAATCAGGCCGAGTAAGCCTGGTGACTTTTGTGGGAAACAGAGGCTGGCTTCTCAGGTCAATGCAAAGCTCTAAGTGCCCAGCCAAAGGCAAGAATTCCACAAGCTAACACAGAAGGCTGGGACCTTCATACGCTGACTGGACGGGTAGCCAGGACTTCTTAGGCCATCTTGATGATATGTCAGGAGAAAGCCAAGGCTTCACAGCAGGGCAGTGGTCTGGGAGCCCTGGGCCTGTCCTGTGCAGCCTAGGGTTGGGTCACTCAGGCAGGTGTGTGGCTGTCAGCCTCAATGCTGACAATCTGATGCCTTCCTCATTTTCCAGCATTTTTTTTTTTCTGGTACTAGGGACAGAACCCAGGGCCTTGCATGTTCTAGGCCAGAGTTCCACCACTGACCCACGCTTGTACCCTCTCCCCGCCCCGGTACTCATTATTATTGTGTATGTATATGTGTCCATGTGGGGTGTATGTCATGGTGCTCCATGGGGAGGTCAGAGGACAACTTCATGCACTCAGTTCTCTCTTCACTTTTACATGAGTTCTGGGGATCAACCAGGTCTTCAGGCTGGTGCAGCAAATCTGTTTCCCTGCTGA